AAGGGATTGAAGGTACCAGTGTCTCTAAAATCAGAGGTTAATTATGAGAAGAGTAATTAATAAGCCAGTATAAATGCTTCCACTTCCTTATAATAAATAATCACTACTTCAGTAGTTAGTGTCTTCTGGTAGGTTCTCTTTGTTACTATTTTATTTGAAAACTACTAAGAGTCATAGGTAATCTCCTACATGTATATCAAATGAGGGAGCACTTTATTTTGTGGAACGTGGCCTTTGGTGTGATACAAACTCGTAGGAATGTCATTTGTCGACTCAGTTAACATGCCTACGTCTGCAAGAGCTCATTAAACTTCATTTAACTTACGAGTTGTGTACAACATCACATACATACATACATATGTACATGTACATTAATCCTATCAATTAATCCAATTTAATAAGTGCATGTAACATAAGAATAATTGTTGATGTATCATATAAACATGGACACATTCTGCCTACAACAGCATTTCTTTAGTTTAACTTGCCCTGTGTGTCTCTCTTCTGGCTTCTCTCTCTTCACAGGAGGAGGATCACTGACTCTCTCTATATAAATTAATACAATACAGCGACATCAAAAGTTGGACTACAAGTTGCCAGGACCATTTCCAACATAGTTGCCTAGTAGATGCGACTAATGCCCATCTTAAGTTAAGTATTGCAACCCAACTAGTTTGATCAGGCCAAGCTAGCTAGGCACGCCCTAGTGACACACCCAGTACCCATTCGCTTTTCCTAATAATGGTCTTTTCCAGTTTGGTATCATCTTCCTCCTCCTCCTCTTCATCCTTTTGGGTCTCCTTTGGTCTTTCACTGGTACTACTAGAAGCTGTACGGGCTCTTGACATTGAAAGAAGAGAGTACATTACAACATGTTACATCACGTGGACTTGTAGGCGGAGAAATAATAATTAGACCATTATTAGAGTTAAAACTCTATTAATTTACTATGGTCTCGCCCACGCTTTGCAAAGCTCTCAGCATTATGCAGCACATCTTAATTTTAAACTTTAAACAAAACATTAAATTTAGCAAAATATGAACTGTTAAAATCAAACAAAAATCATGGATAATCACATGACACTACACTCTTATCTATTCTAGTTTAATAGTTCAAAAAATTGTAGCAATAAAGATAAATATAAAAGTAAGAACTGCAACATTTGCAACTGAGGCGGCACTAGATGTAGTTTCTGGTGTCTCTTCTGGTGTTGCTGATGGTATCACTGTTGCTGATCGTGTCACTGTTGTTGCTGTTGGTGTCATTGTTGGCGTTGCTGTTGTTGCTGTTGTTGATGCAATTGTGCATAGGCAAAGCTGACCTGGAAAGACACCTCTATTAGAATGGCCCCCAAGAGCAGTTACATCGCCATTCACAAAAGTGGTTGTACCTCCAAAAGCCCAAAGAACATTACGGCATACATCAAGATTTTCATCTCTACCACTAGTATCAGGACTGACAAGTGGTCTGGTAAAACTTATGGTAAGCCTATTACCATCCCTCATTGATGAAGTATCCATAATATTCTGCATAGGATCAAGTGATGGTCCAGCTACCCGGCTTTGACCATTCCACCTATAATAATCATACATGTTTAGCATAGCCCATTATAGCCTGCTCCTCACCTGTCTTCTACAAATTCGTCAGTTCCATCATTAGCACCAATAATGACATCAGTATCAGGCTAATAAGAAAAGAGCTGATATATACTTTCTTTTTAGTTGAACAAAATAACTTTGATTCTACGACTACAGTAAACATTGCACCATGCACATGATACAGCACATCAACTAAAATATTGAATTAGCTTCATTATAATATTCAATTTACCATGAATCGATCTTCAGAGAATCCAACTGCAACCCATGTGTTATCTGCTGTATTCACAGACACATTGCAGTCAACATACATTCCATTTGATTGCAATGACCACGAGAATACATAGGAGCCAGCAGGAGCAGTGAACTGACCTTCGGTAGAGCAATTAGCTTGCTGGGCCAAGGCTGAGGTCAAGAAACAAAAAATCACGGCAGAAATTAGAGCAATCATGATGGAACTGTGATAAATGAAAGTACAATCTCTCTTTTATACTTAATGATACATTTGTGGGCAGGGCTTAGCTATTTTAGGCATGGAATGACTCATTATTAGTGAACAGTATGACAAGTGACTAATGAACAAGTATGACCTATACCACAACTTGTATCAATCATCAATTAATAATTGATGATCTAATTATAGTAATCATAGTCATCACACGGTCATATGATTTAACTCCACACCTAAAGATCTTGATTCAGCTAAATCAAGAATGAGGAATGACTGTAATTACGTACTAGCAGTTGATTTGACTATCTTAATCATTAAATCAAAATGATGCACAGTAGCATCCAAACAGTGATTAACAAAACTAAGCAAGGTCTTTAGTGCATCACATAATTAAGGACTTTTACTTGTATTGCATCTGTTTACTGATCAGAAAGGAAACTGACCACCCACATTGCAATTGACAGTTTTTGAATATTAAGATACTAAAAAACATTTAAATGCAACAAGTCTAGTAATGTAATTACACTTGACTTAATATTCTAAAACTCCGATTAGGTGAGCCAGTGTCCTTTCAGGATCACTACAGCAAAGTAAGTTATATCATGCTGTATACATGCATATACACTACTGGCAGTAAGTATATAATTACTATTGAATGAAAAACCACACTGGACAATCCATCCTACATGATCCCACTTTTAAAGTAATACATTACAAAAGTATAAATATCATAATTATGGCTTTAGAGTGCATTCAATAAAATAAGGAAAAAATTATAATTGTTGGTACTCTTGAATATAACTTTTAAATGTGTACAAGGGAGGGAGGGAGAGAAGAACAAAAAAGAGAAAGAGAGAGAGAGAGAGAAAGGAAAAAACTAACTTGTCATGTACATCTGAACAACAACAACAACAACATAACAATAATAACAATAATAAACAAATATTATGTACTATACTATTATTAGCAATAGCTGATTAAAACTCAGGAGAGAAAAGCATAGAGAACCATATGCTTAATATGTGATTCAGTAGTCAATTAGAATATATCATTATTACTATTATTATCATTATTGTTGATCTTTTATAATTTTTCCTTTGTCAGTTCCAATGACATAGAATGTTGTCATTTCTCCTTTCCCTTTGACGAATACCTTGCCTCGCTCTTCTAGCTCAAAGCCGGCATCGCGAAGGATGGCTCCAGTTTGCTCTGTGACCTGTGAAGTAAACACAAAAGCCAGTGCAATGAGGCTGGACATACATACAAGAGATGATACTATGTCTAGTCATAACAAGATTACTAGGAGTAATGTGGAACATTAAAGGGGTGAGCCTAAGCAAGCCATAAATTAATTGTATATGCTGTCTGATCAACATGTATG